AAACAAAAAATTACTAATGTGATTAAGAAGAATAAATGTTTTGTTTTTAATCGAGATGAAAAGCTTGGAAATTATTCTGTTTTTTTCAGAAGAATTAAAATGTTTTTTCAAAAAATTTACAATGTTAGTTGAAAATTAATTTTATTGAATCAAGTTTCATAAGTCTTCTAATTGAATGCTAGATTCGGCTCCTAAGCTCTTCTAGTAACCCCCAAGCTAAATTTACACAGCAACTTGAACACAAGAGAATAAGCGCAAAATATGGAAAAAACGCTTTACTCCGAAGGTTCTTTCGTTATCTTCAAGCATTGAGAACAGATATGAAATAGAGATGACTGTTCTTCAATGATTTAAGACAGGGTTTTAATTATTTCTTTAAAACTAAAGTCTCGTGAGTTCTTAAGAAGAATAAAGTCACCATAATGTTCATATTCTGTCGTCCCGAGTTTTCTTAGGAGTATTCTGAATTTTGAGGCATCATCAAGTCTGCAGAGATAAATATGGAATAAATCTTCGTACTTCTTAAATCAAGAGTCAAAAGTAACACCTGTTACACCATCAAAATTAAATTCATGGATTACAATAATGACTGAATCAGTATGGGATACTTGTGATTCACCAGAAGCAGGGTTATGTTGAGACAGGCACAATTTCTGCATAAGGACTTCCATGGTTCTGATTTGAGACTGTTCGAACCGCTTCTCTTGACGTCCCATGTAAGCTTCTAGTTGCTCCAAAGAAATATTCATTGCAGTTTTCCCCGCCGTCACTGATACAACTTGTGGCTTTGTGTCCTATTAATCTGTAACGTAATGATACCGCAAATCAGAAAACAAAGATTTATCAACCGGACCAATGGCTCATAAAACCCATACGAGCAGTCTACAGTTCTTATCGGTCCTGCTTCCTGCCTAGCCCTATCTTTTAAATCCAGAACACCAATCTCAACCTCCACTATATGAATCATGTATTTCAAAAATACTGGGTTTATATACAAACCAAACAGACCACATCGTACCATAAAATAGAAAATAACATATATACAAGATTTAGCCAAAAATGGCTGTGAATGTAGGAGATGGTAACTGATAGACTGGGCATAACTCAAGAATGGTAAATCGTATAACAATAGTTTATAAGTCAAAATAAAGCTTATGATAAGAGGAACATGAATATGAGTAGTTTAGTTACCTAAAAATTATACACTAAAAATATACTTATAGTATAGTCGGGATGTAACAGATTAAAGTAGCAAAGTTTTGAAAATTATTATTTATCCCTAAGAAACAATGTTTAAGACAATTAACATTCTTTGATATATATTAGAATATAAATAGCGAAAATAAGAGCTTTCGTCTAAATTTGAACGAATAGTTTCACAATATTTTCTTGAGACTATATATATATATATTCGGTAATTTTGTTGTTTGATTATATTTTCCTTGAAAAGGCTTGGACCAGATTGCCAGGCGAAACGTTGGATTTACTTCAAATTCTTTTGCTGAGAGTTTACAAATACATTTTTCCTCTTTAATAAATAATGAAATTTTATGAAACTAATTGTTTCCAACGTTTTCTTCTCCTATAACAATAAGGTTAAAAATTAAAATGGATAATTTTTATAAGAAGCAAAGTAGTATGCACACTGAAGATATTAATTATAATCGGTTTGTCTGCAATCTACTACATCTAAATTTGATGTGTTTTGATTGTTGATAAAAAGTATACAAGAATCTGAGGTCCTATATATAAAAGGGGAATATTATGCGAATCTGTTTATTCAAAATTAATGTAAAAAAATATTGTTGAAAATTGGTTTATAATCAGTAAAATAAAGCAATGATGTGAATAGAAGTTTTTGATATTAAGAATAATCCATAGAAAACTGAATGTAATTGTAAAGTGTGACAAGAACTTACTTACACCTGTTACTCCTCGTGAAGGAGCATAGGTCGCTCACCAGCATTCTCCATCCAACCCTGTCCTGGGCAATCCTTTCCAGCTCCGTCCAGTTGTAATTCATCCTTTTCATATCTGCTTCTATTATCCGACGTAATGTGTTCTTTAGCCTTCCTCTTTTCCGCTTCCCTTCAGGATTCCAAGTTAGAGCTTGCCTCGTGATGCAGTTTGACGATTTGCGTAATGTATGTCCTATCCATTTCCATCGTCTTTTCCTAATTTCCTCTTCAGCTGGAAGTTGGTTTGTTCTCTCCCACAGAAGGCTATTGCTGATGGTATCCGGCCAATGGATGTTGAGTATCTTGCGTAGACAGCTATTTATAAATACTTGTACTTTCTTGATTGTGGTTGTTGTAGTTCTCCAAGTTTCAGCTCCATACAGTAGAATTGCCTTGACGTTCGTATTGAAGATTCTCACTTTGATATTGGTTGAAAGTTGTTTTGAGTTCCATATGTTCTTCAATTGTAGGAATGCGACCCTTGCTTTGCCGATCCTCGCCTTTACGTCTGCATCTGAACCTCCTTGTCTATCGACGATGCTTCCCAGATATGTGAAGGATTCTACATCTTCCAGAGTTTCGCCATCGAGGGTGATTGGATTGCTGTTCTCCGCTTTGAATTTGAGTACCTTGGTTTTCCCTTTGTGTATACTGAGGCCTACTGATGCAGAGACTGCTGCTACACTGGCTGTTTTCATCTGCATCTGTTCGTGTGTACGTGATAGGAGGGCTAGGTCATCTGCGAAGTCCAGATCGTCTAATTGGTTCTGAGCTGTCCATTGTATTCCGTGTTTTCCTTCAGATGTCGAGGTCTTCATAACCCAGTCAACCACCAGAAGAAAGAGGAAGGGAGAGAGTAAACAGCCTTGTCTGACTCCGGTCCTTACTTGGAATGCATCCGTCAGCTGTCCTCCATGCACTACTTTGCACTGTAGTCCGTCATATGAGTTCCGGATAATATTGACAATCTTCTCAGGAACTCCGTAGTGTCGAAGAAGTTTCCATAATGTTCTCCTATCTACACTGTCGAATGCCTTTTCATAATCAATGAAGTTGATGTATAGTGACGAGTTCCACTCAACTGATTGTTCGACGATGATCCGTAGTGTTGCAATTTGGTCTGTGCACGACCGATCCTTTCGGAATCCAGCTTGTTGATCTCGAAGTTGGGCATCTACTGCATCCTTCATCCGGTTCAGCAACACTCTGTTGAAGACTTTCCCTGGTATTGACAGTAGTGTAATGCCTCTGTAGTTTTCACATTTGCTCAGATCTCCTTTCTTTGGAATCTTGACGAGGTGTCCTTCTTTCCAGTCCATTGGCACTTGTTCCTCCTCCCAAATTTTTTTGAATAGAAGGTAAAGCATGCTTGTGGTTGCTTCGATGTCTGATTTCAGTGCTTCAGCTGGTATGTTGTCGGGTCCTGCTGCTTTCCCGTTCTTGATTTGTCTGACGGCCATTCTAATTTCTTCCGTCGTTGGTGGGTTGACATCTATAGGAAGATCTGTGTGTGCTGCTTCGATGTCCGGTGGATTCATTGGAGCCGGCCTATTCAGGAGTTCCTCGAAGTAAATAAAACATTTAAAAAAGAAAAGAGATTTTGATAAGGAATCATAATCATACTTTGAAATATTCTAGTAGGTTAAGCCTACTGTTGGTAACTTGAGTTAGTAAACTCGTCTTTGATACTTAAATCATATTTCTGTGGATTGATTTCTAGAACGTTTGACATTATAACTGTGTACTCTATCTTAATTTTCCTATAAAGAGATGTAACCGAAAGTATTAAATGCCGAGTCATTTTCAGCTAATATTTGGATTGTGACTAGCTGAAGAATTCAAGATTATCGCTTAATCCTAGTTAAGATTCGTCATTTGGATGTGCCTGCATCTCAGTATTTATCTTGGCACTGAGAGTCGAACTTACTATCAATTTCTTTAAGCGCCAAGAAGTTATTCGTAAAATCATTAGTTTCAGAGAAACACTTACTTGTTCGAGAGTGACCATATGTTATACTAAATACTAACAACAGGGAAATAAAAACCCTTGTTTGTAGTTTAACTAACATGTTTGATTCTTTTTAGCAGATTAATAATAGGAGAGACACAAATCAAGCACTGGTAAACAACCGTAATCTATTTTAGCAACAATTCCACTTGCTGAATTACCTTTTGCAGTTTAAACGAGATATTATAACTAATTTTTGAAACAAGTTACCTATTTACTGAAAAATAGTTATAACAAATTTTAACAATAAGACTATTAATGGACGACATAAAGTTATCGCTCAAAAACTCTGTTATACATTGATTGTTAGGAAATTAATAGATTGTGTTTCATTCCGCAGGTGGAAACGAAACAACTAACGATTCTATGGTTATAAAAAGAGGATTATGAATGAAATTTGAGCATGAAAAGGGTGTAACACTTTGATGGTAAAACGAATTTTTGAAAATAACAGGTGAAGCATTATAATGAAATCAAAAACATTCATGAAAAATATCAAAACCACTTTTCAGACAAAAATATGAAGCTGAGATCTGATGACTACTAATAACGAATCAGGCAAACTTGAAAATATCCTGATATGGAAAGTTTCCTGAGGTAAACAGGAACTAGCATCTCCTTAATCACTAATTCTTCCGTCTGTATCTTCCATGTTTATACTGCCAACACCCACTTGAAGTGAAGAATGTTGAAAATGACATAAGACACACCCCAGTCGACTTTGGATAAAAAGAATGTTGGTCATGTTTTTCAGTATGTTAAATAAAAAATATGAGTTCCTAATCAGTTGTTAAACTTCAAACACTTACAAAGTCATTCTTCAGTATCAAATGTCATGAATATTCATGATGTAACAAATTTATTTCCGACAATTCTGAATAGAACTTTCATTTAAATATACTTTGCAGTTAAAATATTGAAGGTTTCGATAATTGAAGGACTATATAGGGCATTACATAATTAATTCTCTTTCAGCTTTAAAAACAATATCTGGTTCTAATAAAGATAATAAAAAAAATCAGAACAAGTTCAAAATGTTTTATATCATGTTATTCAACCCTGAATTCAATCCATCTATCTGCCAGAAAATATTTCATCTTTTATTATGGTTTATTCAAACACGTTTTATAATCTATGATAGAAATGAACATTTAATGAATAATGAAATTGATATTTTAGCTAAAACATTAATTCACAATGAATATAATTCATTAAATGCAAAAATAATAGATTTTAATGAATTATTTAATATACAAAATGATATGATAGAATCTATTTTAAATTATGAAAATGAATGTGTTGCTATGGCGAAAAATTATTCTAATTTATTACGTAAAATATTTATACCAAACTATTCTCCTTGAGAAAGTTTGGGCCAGATTGCCAGGCGAAACGTTGGATTTACTTCAAATTCTTTCACTGAGATTTTACAAATACATTTTCCTCCTCTTTAATGTCAAACTATAATATGTTTATTAATCATAAAGGGAATCAAATGAAACTACAAAAATGTTTTCGATGTCATCTCTATTATCTATATAATTTTCTTAAAGAAAATCTTTAAAATATGAAAAATGTGAAGAGATTCAATGATAAACTACTTTGTAACTTTTATAATTATTCATTTAATGTTTATGATGTATTTTGTAGATAATATTATTAAATTTTAGGTTTTCGGTAATCAAATTGTTGAGACTATTATATATATAAGCTGGTGTATATTTCACATTGAATTAGTCTTGTACAATACAGTATCATATTATAGTTTTACATTGATCTTATTTATATACAATATAACATCCAAGCAAACAATGTCAAGTGAATTTAAACTTTACCCCATTGCACAATCAAGTGGCTATCAGGACTCAGTAGCTAAGTGGATAACGCGATGGTGATTGAAGTAAAAGGTACTGAGTTCGAGTCTCAGAGTGAACATCAACTCTGAGACGCAGGTACATCCAGCTGACAATTCCCAAATAGGACGAAACGTGCGTCCTGGATTCCAATGCTAGCCATTATCCATCTTTGTGTATAATGCTTGTGAGTTAAGGCTATATCGAAGCAATTCGCATAGTATGAACATGTTCCGATAAGAGACTGATCAATTGAAGTTCTAAACATCAATTGGGAGATTCAAGTGAATAACACCAAGTAATTTAATTTTCAAACAGGCTTCTTCATCGTTTCACAATCAGTCTTTAGAGAAAAAACTGATAATTAAATGAAAACATAAGCTTTTTTGTGTAGCTGCTACAAAGATATTTTAGAGTTTCTACGTTTATAAAACAGGTCAGTTTCAACAAATTATTCCAACTATTTAGTCTATCGTACTATCAAAATTATCGACTTTTTTTTAAAGACCATTATACTTGCTTACCATATATTAACTTAACTTCAGATGAAAATGAAAAAGATTTCTTTATCAATATACAACTAATTAATAAATAATCAATTCTAAAGCTTCTGTTATTGTGTTTAATGATAAAATTTTCAGAGTCTTCTACTTAATTGGCTTTTGTATTCAATTAGTCAATGTTATGAATTCTGAATGATCTGAATGGTTAAATTAATCAATAACTAAACAAGTGAAGTAATAGTTCAATGATGACTGGAAAAGGTTACTGCAGATATATATGTGGATACATTTTAACTAATCGGATATTTTTAGGTTTTATATAATGAATATAGAAACCTTTTTTCAATAATCTGAATCTATCCACTAGTAAATACTGACTAGTATTCTACTGTTTTGATACTGATTGTTGCTAACATATAATCTCGTGTTTTATTAAAAGCTAATATAAACCACTTATTTTAAACCTATTATCATACGTCTTATATTGAAGGAAAAAAGAAACTACATATTTTCAATTCAAGCCATAAGTATGCAATATACAGAAAACCATATAAAGTGCAAATTCATCTATAATTTTTTAAGTCAGTAAATACCAAATGTGTTTTTAGTTAATGATCATCAAAAAGCATTAGATCTAATTGTTCTAAAACAACACTAATTTTTCTTCTTTTAGTAGGACAAATAAATTCTCGATTTTTCTCTCCTGATCTCCCAAAAATGATATATAGTTTCATATCATAGTTGAGGATACGCGAATTCTCTTATTGATCACTTTGATAACTGCTTATCTTCTCGTCCTACTTACACCAATCATACAACTACTTCTTAAAGGTCACTGAGTTAGCCTATCTTTCTACCAATCATTGCTTTGATAACTATACATTTTAGAAAGGTCATATTCTACTAGACTCAGGGCTGATTCTCTCTTCCATAGATGTTCTAATTTTTTGACTTAAATTTTTGTAGAAGTATATGTAATTGGCAGATGATTGAATTTATTATAAACCAATCATCGTTCATAAGGGATATTTTATTGATTTATTCTGTTAGATTTATAAGGCTAGTGATGAATTTTTAGATTTCTGACTCATTCTGTGTATCCATCCCTTGACGTTCACGTGTAATTTAGCGGATAAACTACGCGAATCTATAATCTTCATAGTACGAAAAATACATGCATCTTAATACACACAATAGAACTTGTTAAACTGATTGTATGAATACTGGGATGATTACTTACTTAAAACGACGCTTCTCATCTGGGGACCTGCAAGGTGAATTAGCTGACAAGCGTATGCAAGAGGGACTACCTAGTTTCTTACGATTCGGATCGACCACACAGTCTGGACAATCATATCAACAGTATCAACAGCAAAGCTCTAATATTCAAACTACAGGGCAGGGTTATTCAAACCAACCCCAAGATTTTAGTTCTACGGGTCCTGCAAACTACGATATGAGATACGGATCTACAGCCCCTACCATGGCCGAACAATTCTCTAGTTCTCCGACAGCCACAACTACAGCTAATCACACTCCTGGATCTGTAGGTCGAGGACGTGGTGCCTATCCAAGTGCACCAACATCACCAACGAGAGGTATGGGACTTGGTGCCTCACTAATGGGTCCAATGGGAAGTTTAACTGGTCAGATATCAAATACACTCATGCGTAGTTTCAATACTGCTGCCTCCACTGCTCAGAATATATCCGGAAAAATGTCTTCAAAAGATCACCAGAAAATACTTCTAGTCATAGATGACACGCAAACTGATTGGTGAGTGATAATTTATGAAAACTTTGTGCACCTGTCTTGTCAAGTATTATGTTTAAACTATGATTATCTCTAAGGTAATAATGCACTTTGAAAATATAGTAAGGTAAATAAAAATCGTACGAAAATCCATATCAAGAAATATTTGATTAGACAATGAAATCAAAGTTAAACATTTTGCTCACTAATTGGTTGGAAGATGAAAATATCCGTACCCTGAGTCATCAGTGTTCCTACATATCAGCGTTGTTTACTAAAGATTTATAAGGTGTTATTAGCAATGAGGTGAAATGGTACAAACTAAGCTGTAAGACATCTTACATAATGGATCTCAGTATCATATCACTTAAGAAAATGTAGTGACTCATCAGTGAATTTCAAAAATGTTTAAATAGAATATACTGTCTTACCTTATTTTTAAATTTCTAAACAGTCCACCACCATAACCCCACTAAAGATCATACTCAGAACTTTCAAGTCTCAAAAAGAGTACAATATCTTTAGAAAACTATTTCAATGTTTTAAAAAATATTTTGATAATATGCATTTTAGAGCTTACAATGAATAATGCAAGTAAAATTTATTCATTACGGTAAAATATTTTGAGTGACGCGTTAACACTATCCCATTTAAGTTAGGAAATTGCCTTACTTCAATTATCTAATACGTGATTACTAGCATTAGTTGTATGTTATCATTCATACATAGGTGTATTTACCTTTCTACATATTGTGGCCAACTCACATCCATTAAATTAATCTTGACGCCAAATGTGTAGTACGTAATATTCTAAAACGTATTTTACGTAAGTAACTCAATCCAGTAGTACAATTGTTGATAACAGTAACGGATGAAATAGCTGTTTTAACCTTATTTTAATTTATATCTTCCGATAAAATGTTGCTTGTCGCGCTATTAGATTTTTACTACCCATTTTAACATTGCCCTACAACAAAATTTAAACCTGTCTGATAGTTGTTTTTTCTAGAAATCTATTTCACTGTATACTGAATCAAAGTCCTAAACTTACGTTTTTGCATATGGACAACAGTTGAATACTTCTCTTAAAATGTTACGCAGTTTCCCAGTCATCCTTTATTAAAGAGATTTGACCATTTAGATACTTAACCACTAGTCAATATATTCAACTTTATTGCATTTCTTATAAGATGATAGATCTGAAAAGGAGAAATAACTTTATATGTGTTATATCTGACTACAATATATAACGCCATTATGAGTCTAGAAACCAAGGCAGTGATGTTGAAACCATACATATAGTATTATTTTAGATGTAACTAAGTGACTTGTTTGGGTAACTGTTAAATATCAACCAAACGGAACTAAAACATTGTACTTATTGAAAGAGATCTCAGCCAAAAAGTAGATGAAGCACACTTTTTACATTCTAGAATTCCTATATTTTGAACTGAATACCTGACATCAAAGTGAAACCACACTTCAGACAAGCTGAAATTTTGCTAAGTTTACAATTATGAACAATTCAATTAGTTGATTTAGAAAACTCAACTAAAAACAGCATTTACGGGATAAATTCAATATACATTATTTGATCAATAATCAACATCTAAACACACTAATTTGTAGGGGTTTTCTGAGTTATCCTGGTGTTGATATTGCCAATTGAATTCTGACATTTAAAACAAACGATTCTGGGTTCAAATCCCGGAGTGTACATCAACTCTAGAATGCAAGTATATTCCACTGACGATCCATGAATTCGATGAAATGCACCTCCTGGTATCTACTGTTAATTACAATCCATCTCTTAAATAGACATACTGCTTTTATTCATCATATATGTGCTGAATACAAATCACCAATATTATCATAACATACTAATTTCAAAATTCGGTTTTCCCACAAAATATTCAAGGCATGAATAGCAAACAATACTGAAATAGGTCAAACCAGATCCTTTTGTATAACCCAAGGGGAAATCCCCCATGATAAAGTAACTGTATTTTAAGACTGAAAGGAAATGAAATTCAACCATTGTGTTTACATAAATGAGTAAACTAGGTCAAAAAACCAAGTAAACAAAAAGAAGAACTGACAGGAAGACAACGAAATCTCCAAACACAACCAAGCACAAACAGGTACATCAGAACTAATTAATATGGTGCGTATGTAATAATTTTCTAAAAATATAAAAATAAAGTTGGGTCTGTTAATATTATTCAACCCTACAATTAAAGCTTCATAGTTCAATCA